TAATTCCAGTGTTTTTTGATATTTTTTCAGTTCAAAGGGCTGTTTTATCTTTTATTTCCCGGTCACATTTTTTGAATTCTCACATCTTGCAAAATACTTTATTTCACAAATGTAGTAAATCGTACTATTATAAGCCATGGAATATATGTTTCTATTGTGTTTGTACAACAGAAAATTAAGTTGCACAGCTACACCCCTTACTCAGCAATAGGTAACCAGGAGATCATTTCTTAAAAGGCAAAGTGTGAAGTAACCAACATATCTGTGACCACTGAGGAGTTCCCAAACATCTTGAAGTGGTAGTTATTGCTTGAATATCCACATTAAATTTGAGAGTCTGCATTAAATGAAAGTTTTGGTGTGCTGTGTGAAAAGTTCTCAAGAATCTCCATAATCTGTGAAGTGGTGAGTGGACTCCCATCACACCTGGGCATGACTCAATGGACTTTACCATTTTAAGGTGAAGCAGACAAAAGTCTAGACAAGAGGTACAGTCAGAGGATCTCAAATTGACTGCAATAATAAATATATTTAAATTTGTGTGATATAATATTATTAGAAAAATCCAATCTTCTTCTCCTCTTCCCCCTCCTCAGGAAACTGTAGAGGCCCCTCAGCCTCTTTTTATACAAATAAGACAAGCTCAAAGTCCTGAGCGGCTCCTCATAGGACATTTCCTCCAGCCCTTTCACCAGCTTTGTTGCCCTCCTCTGGACGCATTCAAGGAACTTAACATCATTCTTAAAATGTGGGCCCCAGAACTGCTCACAGTACTCAAGGTGAGGCTGCACCAAAGGATCACCTCATGGTTGGCTACAGCATGGCTTTGAGGGAGTGGTATTAAGCAGCACTGGAGATGTGCAGACATCTCCACCAGGTTGAGAGGGAAGCAAGTTGCTCTCCGGCTGGGTCAACCCCGTGGCAGAAATTTTAAAGAGCTACTATTGGCAGGCAAGGGTTCACGGTGACCTGGTTCATATCTTGCAGCAGTATAAGGACATTGAATGTATTACCCAAACTGAAGTTTTTATCTCTTTGCCTCAGAGATTACTTTGCTGCACTGTCAGCGTACATGATTTGTGCGTTTCATAATGAACCAAACACAAAATATGTCTGCCTTTGGACTGCCTGAATGAAAACTGGAGGAAAGCTGCCCAGCATTAACTGTTTGCAGCAACAGTGACACCCTGCAGCGATGTAATGACCTGTGAGGAATGATTTTGTTTATGTCAGTTTAGATGCTCTGTCTTCTTCTCTCAGTAACCTTTCTGACTACCTTTAGGTTTTGATCAATTTAGGCAATTATCTATAATGTATGTATACTGTCTTCTGGAAAAAGGATTTCTACAGGAGCTCTTTACATAATAAAAATCTCTGATTTTAACCCCTGTCATGATTTCCATCGATTTAAATGGACGTTCAAGCTGTAAAACTGGCTGTTTCCCAGCATGCAAATGACTTGAGTGCCAAGTTATGCTTGTAAATCAGACATCAAATATGGAGATCCTTTGACATGGCAACTGAAACATACATATTAAAAAGATATGCTGGCATTTAAGCATTTTGTGTTTAGGTGTTCCCAAACACCACTGGTTTAGGTGTGTGCTTTTCATAATCCAACTATAAAGCTATTCATCAAAGCTTTATTTTTTTTTCTGGAGAAGTGGAATTAAAAATAATAGGTCTGTGCAAATGTGGCAAAGTCAATAGGGCCACAGAGTTAAAACTGACAGTAAAAACTGCCCTGGTATTACTAGGCATAGAGTGGCTCAGGGAACTGATAATGGTCAGAGCCTCGGACTACATACTGGGTGGACCTGTGTTCTACAGTAACCTGGCACTCCTGCAGCAGTGCAAAATGATTCACAAATATTAGAAGCCAATGAAAGTTCATGTAAATACATGCTAACTGAGACGTAGTTTCTTGAAAATGAACTGAAATTAAAGGAAATATTTAATAACATAATGTATAAAACATTACCCTCACTTTAATGTATAAAACATTTCCCCAACTTAGTTGCTGCAGAAATCAAGGCTCCAAGAAGCACAGAGTTTATTTCCAATGTCTTTACTCCCCTTTGTATGGCTGTGAATAATTTTGTATATATTTGTTTTTAAAAAAAGAAAGAAGTGATCCAAATCCTGTAAACTCCTGGGTTCAGCCATTAGACTGCTGAAGAATTTGGTTCACAGAAGAAACGAGAAGAAATGGGCAGAAGCTGAGCCTGCATCCAGAAGGATCTTCCTCTGACTCCAGTCAGAAACTCACTAAAGGAACTACATCCTCTTATTTCTACTTCATATGAGAGATTTGGAAAGCTCGTTATTCCTCCAGTTCTCTCTGCTGTAAACTTTTGGAAGCACCTCTTTCTCTGGAGGAGGAAAAAGAGTTCAAATACAGGATAATTAAATTGTTGTTCAGTTCTGAGGATGTCTTTTTCTATTTAATTAATGATTAATTTAGCAAAGATGTTCCAGTTCCAACAAAACCTTGTGTTCAAAATATTTTACCCCCTCCTCTGTTTCAGCGGATAGTGACCGGGAAGCTAGAGCACAGAGAGAACTGGCGTGTTCCTGAGAGCCTCTGTGGGAGTGCTCCAAAAGTGCCTGCAAAACCAGAGCTGCTCTCTAACCACAGAATGGAACTGGGCTCTCCCCATCCCCTGAAATATTGCACCAACAGTACAGGATTAGGTGGTTTGGCCATCAAGATGTGTTCGGCGAGGCTGATTCACACACCATCCCTCCTGAGGGCACCAAGGCCAGTATTTTAAGAGCAACCATTACACGCCCTGGTAGCTCCACAGTTCTCATTCCAGACGGCTTCATCTGCTGCCAGGTATCAACAAACGATACTCGTTTGAGTAAGCATCTTCCTTAGCATCAGTTTGCATACTGGAGCATATCCTTCTACTATTTACTGTATGCCCTCCTGCTTATCTCAGTGTAACAGCGGTGCTGAAGCACAGCTTGTGTACCAGTTGCAAGTCGTGGATCCAACAGCTTGGCCTTGGTCTGCTCTCGTCATTTATGGGACAACGCCAATTCAAAATCACAAGTCACAGACAGGCATGTTTACTCACAATTGTTAATAGCACTGTAGATTCAAATAAAAGACTTTTTAAAAGCTCATTTATTTCTCTGCGCTTAAATTCTCCACCCTTTTTTTCCACTTCTTTCAATCTAGACAATGAAAATGAAAAGGTGTCAAAAGTTTTTATATTTATCTCCTTAAGAACAACTTTCACAGGATTTATTTTTAGTTGCAGAGTATTTCTGGGGGTGAGAAGTCGAGTAAAACCTCGCTTCTATAACATTTAAATGTTTGGTGGATTTTGTCAGCTGTTTAAAACAAATGTGACCCTCTGAGAATCCTCATCAGCAAAATGCTTCCGTTTGGATCAGGAATGACCATCATCCGCTGGCGCTGCTCTCCGGGAGCCCCGCTCCGGTATTAACGGCGAGGCTGGACGCAGTTTTGCTACTTTTAATGAAAACGAGTACGGTTCTCAGCCTCCCCGCTTGTTGCTGGCGCCTTTCTCAATGACATCGAGCAACGCTTCGGTGTCACCGCTTGTGCGGAGCGGCAGCGTTCAGCCAAATAAACGCCCGCCGCCTTTCGCCGTGACCAAGTTTTCCTTCCTACGCCGCGCAGGACGGGGCGGGGGGAAGTGGGGGCCCGCAGCCCCGAGGGCGACCCCGTGTCCCGCACGGAGGTGCCTGCCAGGGGACACCCGCGTCCCCCCGACCCCGCACCCGCTCTTCCCTCCGCGGCAGCACCCGCCTCACGGCTCCCCCCCTCCCCGTCGCCCCGGG